GTGGGAGAGGGAGAAGCAGGCTTCCCGCTGAGGAGGGAGCCCAATGCAGGGCTTAATCGCAGACCCTGGGATCATGACCTGAGCCGAAGGCAGACGCTTAATGACTGAGCCACCCAGGCACCCCTGAAAAATAAATTTTTAATGGATATTCAGACAGAAAAAAGTAACTGATCCCTACTTCACACCATATGCATATGATAATTTGAGTTGGATCTTAGGCCCAAATGTGAAAACTAAAACGAAAGCATTTAGAAGAAAATAAAGGAGAATGTTTTCATGACTTGGGAGTAGGCAATAATTTCTTTTTTTAAATTTCAGGTTTATAAAAAAATAAAAGATAAATTTCAGCTTTATAGAGGTATAATTGACATATGAAAGTATCAGATATTTCCAGTTTTTCCCTATTTCTCCACACCCAAGGCAATGATTTTTTTTGAAATTATTTTGGGGGGTGGGGAGAAGGGCAGAGGGAGAGGGAAAGAGAGAATCTTAAGCAGGCTCCACGTCCAGTGTGGAGCCCGACCCGGGGCTCAATCTCACAACCCTGAGATCATGATGTGAGCCAAAATCAAGAGTCTGATGCTTAACTAACTGAGCCATCCAGGTGCCCTAGCAATGATTTCTTATAACACAACATTAATCATAAAAGAAAAACATTGATTAATGGGCTTTATCAAAATTTAACACTTCTCATCAAAAGACACCATTAACACATATTTGACAAAGGACATACTCAGGATCTGTGGAGAACTCCTATAAACTGATCTTTAAAAAGAAGCTAAATAACCCAGTCAAAAATAGGCAAAAGAACAGACACTTCATAACTTGGTTAATAAATAATAATGATATAAAGGCCTTAATGTATAAGAATGCAATACAATAGTATATAAACACAGAGAATCTACATTTATTAATATGGAAAGATGTTATATTACAGGCAGCAAAACAGATGTCTGGTATCATACTATTTATGTAAAATTGTGTGTCTTTATGTGCATTTGTAGACATAGGAAAATATTTGGGAAGAAGGTCCCAGACACAAAATAAGTATAACCTATTTTTCCCCTCCAGGTTCTCAAGTCTAACTTATTGGTGTTGAGAACTCATAGCATCTGAGGGCTATTTCCCAAGCCTGGCAGAACACTCCTGGTCCTAGAAGAGACTTTGGTACGAGATCCAATTTTTCAAAAAATCAGCTTTATAAAGTACAGTAGTTTATGGCCCTGTAAATTTGATGTAATTACTATTTAGTCAGATATGTACTCATTTATCAAGTGGGAAATTGTTAAAAGTTATTCAGAACAGGTTGCTTATTTGCCTGTTTATTGGAGCTAGGGTCTTAGATTTTTTCCTTGTAATTATAAAAACTTAAGTACCTAGTGAATATATAGAAAAATGCCCTCTCACCTTGAAATTTAAGATATGAGCTTGCCTAGTTGGAGCTTGCACTCTGCTTATAATCATATATTCATGAATCAATGCCAGGAAAATAGTTGAATGATAGAAAGATGAAGATAGTAGTACTAAAGAACTTTTTATTATCTAGAAAATGGGAGTATAATGAATGAGCGAAACCAAGAAGGTCTGATAACCAGGTCTTGGAAGAAGCGGGGCAGGATACAGGGGTTCTTGGGACCTCAGCAGCAGGAGCTCAGGGTCTTTATTCTAGTGTCTAGTGTTCCACATCAGTGTCATTCTTTTACTTGTGACTGTGATTGCTTCTCTCTCTTCTTTGTACCTACCATCCAGGGACTGTAATTTGTCTAGTCATTTGTGTCTTCAGGGCTCACTGGGGAGTACTGCGTGGAGGGAAGGAGACAGGCATTTAACTAGTGTCTGATGTGCTGAGGCTGTACAAATAATTCAGAAACAATTTCTACCTCAAGGATCTTACAGTCTAGGTAGGGGAGAGAGACCCATAAACAATAAGTTGTATATTTGCCACTATGATGGAACTATATACCAGGTCATGGTGACAGACAGCATTTTGTTCAAATTGAAACACCTAAGTTGTGTCTTCAGTGATGAGCAAGATTCACTGGGTAGGCTAAGAGGAGGAAGGGCCTTTCAGACATAAGCACATGAGCAAAGGAACTCTCAGTGGGAAAGAGACTACCTGACCTGTTCAAAAAGTATGTAGAGGCACCATACTATGAGGCTGGGCATTTATGCAGGGACCAGATTCACTTTCTGAGTTGAGGAATTTGCTTCTTTTCTTGTAGGTCATAGGAATCATTACACCATTTTAAGTACGGGAGCCTTATTATCAGTTTGAGTGTTAGAAATGTGTTTACAATGGCATGAGAAGGAGATTTGAAGTTCTATTTTTTTAAATTTTTAAATTTAAATTTTAATGTATTGATTTATTTGACAGAAAGAGAGAGAGACAGGCAGAGGCAGAGGGAGAAGTGGGCCCCCCACTGAGCAGGGAGCCCAATGCAGGGCCCGATCCCAGGACCCCGGGGCCATGACCCGAGCCGAAGGCAGACACCCAGGCAACTGAGCCACCCAGGCGCCCCGAGATTTGGCATTCTTGAAGTGAAAGGAGATGAAGCCCTGAAGTAAGGTGATTGCAAATGGGGATGGAAATGCTCAAGAGACAGAGGAAAGAGGTTATGAAGGAAGAATTTGTAAGAGTTTTTAAACTAGTTGAATGGGGAGTATGGGAGAGAGGGAAAAGTCTAGCATATGCGTTTTTTCGATTAAGTAACAGAGGGTCAGGTGCTGCTACTAACCCAAACAGGATAGGACAGAGTCCAAGTGTAGCTATATTTCTCAGTGATTTGTTGATATTGCTCCTTTATACCAAATTGGAAAGAAAACTCAAAACCCCATCTGCCTGCCCCTTAACTCACTTACCTCTTACTCTAACATTAGGAAGGATGCTCTTTTTTATTTAATTTGACCAGTTTTTTAAAGATCCCCCCCAAATAATTGCTACTTTACTACATATTTTAATTATTCTGTAATTTTAAATAAGAAAACTATTTCCATAGTCCCACTGTCAGTGAAGAGAGAAAACAGGCAGGGCTTGAAAGGGGCTCAGTCAGCCTCCTGCCCTCTAGGGAGGTTCTTGTTTCTATGTTTCTGCCCAAGAAAGAGACCAGTCTGACTAAATCTGATGGCTGAGCTCTTTTGGGTTTGCTTGCTGCTACAGAATGTTCATTAAGGCTGGTCATTGCCTCTTTCTTCTTTATCCTTTCCTTGGGATAAAAGAATGTAATAAGAGTTCAAAAAATTTAACTGAAATGATGACTGTGAGAGTCTGTTGCTACTTTGTGAATTCAAGAGCTAATCAAAAACTTTGGTTTGAAGTAGAAAGGCATGATCTTTTCACAGAGCCTATTGAGTTCAGCCATAAACCAGGGTTCCCTTAAGGAGTCTTTTGTGACTTCCCCAGGCAGACCTGTGGGCTTTCTCCTGAGGCACCTTCTCTGCTAGAGTATAATTATTCTACAGGTTTGTGTTTTGTTCTCAGCTGTGTTGTTTTAGAGGAAGAAACTATTCATTTTAATATGATTTCTGGTCAGAATAGGCCCTTAACAAATGGATGGATGGATGGATGGATGGATGGATGGATGGATGGATGGATGACACAAAACCTCAGTAATTTTTTAGACAAGTTGTTCTTACAGTGTGGCTCACAAACCCCTCAGTCCCCCTGAGATGCTTTTAGGAGATTCATGAGGTCAGAACCATTTGTGAAATTGTTATTATTCACAAATAACAGCATTTGCCTGTCTCATGTTGACATTTACACTGATGTTGGAAAAACAATGGTAGGTTAAATTGTTGATGCCTTAGTATAAATCAAGTTCATGGCATCAACTAGTAATCATATTCTTCACTGCCACCACTCACATTAAAAAGGAAAAAAAAGACTTAGAAGTATCATCACTGATTTGGCAAAAATTATTAATTTTTGATGCTGAGTCAAGATTAACATCCCTGAGTTAAGATCTTGGGGCACCCTCTTACACTGTTGGTGGGAATGCAAGCTGGTACAGCCACTCTGGAAAACAGTATGGATATTCCTCAAGACGTTAAAAATAGAGCTACCCTATGACCCAGCCATTGCACTACTAGGTATTTACCCCAAAGATACAGATGTAGGGAAAAGAAGGGCACATGCACCCCAATGTTCATAGCAGCAATGTCCACGACAGACAAGCTGTGGAAGGAGCCGAGATGCCCTTCAACAGATGAATGGATAAAGAAGATGTGGTTCATATATAAAATGGAATATTACTCAGCCATCAGAAAGGATGAATACCCAACTTTTGCATCGACATGGATGGAACTGGAGGGGATTATGCTAAGTGAAAGAAGTCAAGCAGAGAAAGACAATTATCATATGGTTTCACTCATATGTGGAACATAAGGAATAGCGTGAAGGACCACAGGGGAAGAGAGGGAAAACTGAATGGGAAGAAATCAGAGAGGGAGACAAACCATGAGAGACTCTAGACTCTGGGAACTAAACTGAGGGTTACAGAAGGGAGGAGGTTGGGGGAATGGGGTAACTGGGTGATGGGTATTAAGGAGGGCATGTGTGGTGATGAGCACTGGGTGTTATGCTCAACTAATGAATCGTTGAACACCAAATCAAAAACTAATGATGGCTGGCTGGCTAATTGAACATAATAATAATTAAAAAATTAAATTAAATTAAAAAAAAGATCTTGGGGCACCTGTCTGGCTCAGTTGGTAGAGCATGTGACTCTTGGTCTTGGGGTTGTAAGTTTGAGCCCCGTGTTGGGTGTAGAGATTACTTAAAAATAATCTCTTAAAGGGGTGCCTGGCTGACTCAGCTAGTTAAGCGGCTACCTTTGGTTCAGTTCATGATCCTATGGTCCTGTGTCAGGCTCCCAGCTCAGTTGGGAGTTTGCTTGTCCCTCTCCCTCTCCCTCTGCCCCTTCCCCTGCTCGTGCTCTCTCTCTCTCTCAAATAAATAAAATCTTTAAAAATTTTTTTTAAATCTTTAAAAAAAGATTAACATCTTGACTCTTTAATAGTCTGTGTGATGAAATGGGAGGTAAACACAGAACAGGCCTTCTGTATACTGAAATTCAATGGTTGTCCTAAAGAAAAGCACTTGTTGCAAACAGAACTAGTCATTTTTTTCATGGAAAAAATATTTACTTGAAAGAACAACTGACAGACTAATTATTCAATCTTGGGTATTTGGCGAATATTTTCTCAAAAATGAACAAAGTAAATTTGTCACTTCAAGGAAAAGAACTGATAGTATCTGTTGCCAATGATAGAACCTGAAGTTTTATAATGAAAAATTAGAATTTGAATAAATTTGAATCAATCATTGTGATTGATTCCCAATGCTTAAGGACTTTTTTTTTTTCTGATATCAGTGGTAATATAAAAAAATGTGCCAACATTTGGAAGATCTGCATAACTCAAAGAGTCTTTATTTTCCAAATAACTAGTGCATGATATGATAAGACAGGGCATGAGTAAGGAATCCTTTCAAATTGCAGGACAGAAAAGTGAAATTTAGTGTAACACAATATGGAAATTCATTGACATGGTTTCAGATTCCATATTACAGCTAACCTTTTAAGAAACTACCACTTATCCGAGTTGGAGTATAGTATCAAAGAAGACTATCCACAATTATCTGAAAAGCCTATTAAGTTATTTCTTCCTTTTCCAATTACATATATGTGTGAAGCCATATTTTCTTCAAATGCTTCAACTAAAACAACATATTATAACAGATTGAATGCAGAAACAGGAGAATCCAGCTGTTTTCTATTAAGCCAAACATTAAAGAGATTTGCAAAAACATAAACCAATACCACTTTTTTCACTAAATATATTTTGGGTAATAGAGTTACTTTTCATAAAATATTTATGCTAACATGTAATGGGTTTGTAAAGTTTTCCAGGTTTAAATTTTTTAAAAAGATGTATTTATTTGAAAGAGAGCAAGAAAGAGAGAGAGCACGAGTAGGGGGAGGCAGAGGGAGAGAATCTCAAGCCAACTCCACAGTGAGCACAGAGCCCGGATGCAGGGTTCGATCTCAGGACCCTGAGATCATGACCTGAGCTGAAACCAAGAGTTGGATGCTTAACCAACTGAGACACCCAGGCACTCCTTTCCAGGTTTAATTTTTAATGTAGCAAACACTGAAATATATAACCTGGATTTTTTTTTAAAGCCCTTAGGGTCCTCATTTTTTAAGAGTGTAAAGGTCCTGAGACCATAAGGTTTGAAAACCTATGTCTCCAGAAGTTTTAACTGTTCAGCATATATGGATAAAAAGCTAATTCCATTTCTGCTTTAATCATTCTAAAATCAAGGCATTAAAAAATAATAAAAAAATAAAATAAAATAAAGGCATTTTTTTTTTTAAGATTTTATTTATTTATTTATTTGAGAGAGAGAATGAGAGACAGCACGAGAGGGAAGAGGGTCAGAGAGAGAAGCAGACCCCCCGCTGAGCGGGGAGCCTGATGCGGGACTCGATCCCGGGACTCCAGGATCATGACCTGAGCCGAAGGCAGTCGCCCAACCAACTGAGCCACCCAGGCGCCCAAGGCATTGTTTTTTTAACTATAAAATGTGTCATTTAAATATATTTAATATATTTAAAATTTAAATCCATTTGTGACTAAATATATTTAATTTTTGAAAAGTAGTTCTATTGGTTTTTAAATAGAACAAAATACATATGGTTTTTAAAAATTCAAACAGTACAAAGATATATTTAAATTTTTTTTTTAGTTAAAAGGGATGTATAAGGGATGCCTGGGTGGCTCAGTCAGTTAAGCGTCTGCCTTTGACTTGGGTCATGATCCTGGGTCCTGGGATCAAATCCCACGTCGGGCTCCCTGCTTGGCAGGGAGTCTGCTTCTCCCTCTGCCTGCCGCTCTCCCTGCTTGTGCTCTCTCCCTCTGGCAAGCAAATAAGATAAAATCTTTTAAAAAAAGGGATGAATAAAAGAAATGACCGTTTGGAAATTTGTAGGGGAAAGAATATAATTGTAACCATTGTTTTACCAATTTATCAAACAATTTGATCTTTTCAGTTTTCCCAAATTCCTTATCCACACATTTATGATGATGATAATAAGTGTGTATATGATGCTAGGCGCCATTCTAAAATGTCTCAATGACAATGATGATGTCACTGATGAAAAACTGTCTACTGGGGTACCTGGGTGGTTCAGTCAGTTAAGCAGGGTCCTTGCTGAGCAGGGAGCCCAATGCGGGATTCAGTCCCAGGACCTGGAGATGATGACCTGAGTCAAAGGCAGTCACTTAACTGACTGAGCCACCCAGGCACCAAGTAATTGATTTTCAAAACCTAAATGTAGCCTACTCATGATAAGCAGATGAGAGGGAGTTCTCTTTAGGAGGAAGGCAAAGGATGGAAGACAGCCTCAGAAGATGAGGCTTTAGCAAAGTAGATCAGGCAGACTCAACAATAATGCTGGATAATGCTAGAACCTAGCATTGGGAAAGTGCCTGTATCCTGACCCAGCAGAGTATCTTGACTGTTTTAGTACAATTACACTTTGATCCAGTGTTCCAGCTAATTGAAAGTCTTTTAAATTGTTTTTGTTGTTATTTGTTGTGTTAACTACTCTTGCCAGATTCTCCTTTTCTGGTCATCCCTTTAAGACTTGTAGACATTCAGGGGCGCCTGGGTGGCTCAGTCGTTAAGCATCTGCCTTCTGCTCAGGTCATGATCCCAGGGTCCTGGGATTGAGCCCCGCATCAGGCTCCCTGCTCCGCGGGAAGCCTGCTTCTCTCTCTCCCACTCCCCCTGCTGTGTTCCCTCTCTCGCTGTGTCTCTCTCTGTCAAATAAATAAATAAAATCATAAAAAAAAAAAAAGACTTGTAGACATTCAGGCAGGCCTGGCAGGCTTAGTCAGGGGGAATGTGTTCAAGCCCCATACTGGGCGTAGAAATTACTCAAATAAATACATACATACATACACTTAAAAAAAAAAGAATTATAGACATTCAAAGAAGGTCATAAGGAGATAGGATGTCACCTTAGAAAGGCCAATGGCCAGCTCCAGTCATTCTAGCGGATTTATCATGGTCCATGTTCTGGCCCTCTTGGTGACTTAGAAATGACTTAAAAATGTGACTTAGATCTAAGGAATATTGGCATTAAACAAGGCTATATAAACTCAAATATTATTTTATCAAGAATTATGACTGCCAAGTAGACTGTGCCTTCTTGTTTAAAAATATTGGTTTTATTATTCACATATGTTGAGGCCAACAGGAGACAGTTACATTGAAAATATAGTTTGTTACTCACAGTTGCCAAGAAGAGGCAGGCATACCACATCACACAGGGCCAATGTGGGGAAGCACCAGTGTCTGCCTGCAGACGGAGTGAGGGGAAAACTGGGTCAGTCAGACCCTTTATTAGAGTTTCTGTAGGAGGGAAGGGGTGAGGCAAGGTAAACAGGTTTAGGATTGGCTAGTTTGAATAATTTCAGTGGTTTCTGGGATGTGGGAGCTGTCACTGGTTGTTTGGTACCTGACCCTGGGGTGATCAGGACAGGGGGGTAGTGGCCCTGAAAGCCCTGTGAGTGCCTGATAAAGGAGATGGTTGGACTATGGACTCTGAGTTGGTTGGTTTGCATATGAAAGATGCATTCTGGGGCAAATTGTTTTCTATCCCTAGGAATTAGCTAACCCTGGGAGGGGCGGTCCCTCTAGTGTCAGCAAGGCCCCAAGATATCAAAGCATCAGAAAATACAAAAAACAAACAAACAAACAAAAAAACACCAACAAAAAACCCCCATGATTAATACAGTTGTCACCACCCTGACAAGTTCATTCCTTCCTTTAAACAAACTATATGGAAATCAAGTTACTAGAAGGCTACATGGTATTTAATCAGACTAAGCGTCATCATTTGAGATTTTAAAAGGTCCAGGTACTGGATAACTGATGGATACATCTCTACCAAAGAATATGCCAGGCAGGTGTTCATCACCTTCCCTTGGCACTGCTTGGATGGGACACTGTCAGCACTTGTCTCTGTAACTAAGACTGCCCTATATCCTCCCCAAAATTATCCTTGCTGTGCATCAGTATTAGCTGTACTCTTTGGAAGTCCTAGCCACAAGTAACTAAGAATGGTACCTGTAAAACTAATGCATGAAGTGTCATCAGACCTTTAAATTAAAGTTAAATCATACTTTTATGTTAAAATATAACACATATATACATATCTGACTCCTGTTGCCAACACATGTGACTTACCATTGGGAGCCCAGTGATATACTCCACTTAATGGAGTGAAAAGTCCCATAGGATGGTTTTACAACCTAACTCAGGCAACCTTAGCCCCTAAAATGTTTTCAGGATTGAGAGAAGACTAAAAGCTCTTCCAAATATGGCCAACAAAGGTTTAGTACTATTAAATATTTTTTGCATGTTGGGATTAGAATAGCAACAAAAATTATTCTCAGTTTTCTATTTAGTCAAAGTAACATGTGGCACAATTTCTCTTGAGATTATGCTGAAATATTTATCATTACTATTTGAGATAAATAAAAATGATAATCAAAATAACATTTAAAATTTTTATTGATAGCATTTTGTTTATGAACTAATATATTTACATATTTCTCCAAACTGTATCCTTGCAACTTAAAGCCAAGCACTTTTCTCAATATTAAACTTGTGAAAAGGGTTTAGCTACCTATAAACATCAGGTACAATTCTAAGTTCTGAATCAAAAACTATTTCTAATGTAATTTACATTAATGTTCTTTAAAACATTAAATGAAAAACCTCCAATTATTGTTTTTCAAATAAAAGCCACAAAAACATTAAATAATTACCATGTACATTACAACTTGCTTATATCAAATTACCAAGAAAAGCATCATACCAATTGTTAGGATCTCCTCTACTAATAGAAGGCAAAGAAATAAACTTGTATATGACAGTCATCAGATTAGTGCACTCCAGTTTTATATAATTTGACTTATTCTTTGTTGTGAAACTGCTAGGTTGAAATAAGGATTCTTTATATAAACACATTTTGAAATCATATAGATAATATAGTCATTTTGTAATATTTTATAATAGTAACATGGTATTCATTTATTTTGTTAGAAGTTATTCACAGGTCCTAAATACTAGATGATTGGAATGTCACACTAAGGAAATTAACCTTATTATATAAATGTTTAATAATTATGTTAGAAATTAAGAGATATTATTTAATCTTGACCAAATATTTAGTGTATTTTGTTTCTATTCTGTAAGTTTCTATTGGCTTTCTTAATTTTAGCTAATCTAAGAGAATCTAATAATCAGTTTTTCTTTTCTAAAATGAAGGAAGCACATAGTCTCTATTTGTGATAAATCCCCGGGTTTGTTTTTTTTTTTTGGTTGTCTGTAAGAAAGACAAGAATAATTTGATATAAGTAACAAGGAATGCTTTTAAACTTTTGTTTTATCTTGTTATTGGGAACCTATAGATAGACCTCAAAAATAATAACAGGAATTAAAAGATATGAAGAAAGAATTCTATGAGATAACATTAAAGACAAAATAAAACCAAGCAAAAAACAACACGCCAACACTTAGCATAGATTATTACTAGCTTGTAAAACTCTGATCTGTTATTTGACATTGATTAAGCTGACAACGTGAATATTAGCTGCCCAGTCTACTATAATGGTTGGTCTTTTACAATTTTAATTAGATTTCACATACTTGCAATCAACAGTTTTAAGAATTAGTTCATTCTTTCCTTATACCTTATACCTTATAGGCTTATTGATCATAGGACTGTTTTGTTTTTGTTTTTTTTTTATGCTTTTGGCATCATGGAAAATTACAATCTTATTTATTGACTTGTAATGTTAAAAACGTTTATTGACTTGAATGCAGTGTTTCCTAATAAAACATCTGGGAAATCTGAAAAAAATTTTAAAGTCATCTCCAACATATTTGCCCTTTTTTTTTAAACTGATTTTTGTTTAAATTAAAAACCTGGACCACATGAAGGTTGTTAAATATTAGGAGTTTTGAGAAATATAGCTTTAATTTTGTTTGAATTTCCTTAGTAGGCACTACATGTTATTTGTATGTTCACAGTGCCTAGTATGATACACAGTACATTTTGATACCCCTAACAATTATGGACTAACCAATTACAAGATTTAAAAGGATGGACATTTGAGATTTCTTCTCTGGTTCTATATTTCTCTGATGTAGACATTTGAACAAAATGTGCTTTCTAGCCATTTCTTAAAAATTTACTAATTGCTTAATTTGTTCTGTTTGCAATGATTGTCTCCTTAACAACATTTTTTTACTTTTGAATTCTTTAGGGAACATAGGAACTGTTGGCATAAGCACTTTTTGACCACAAGAAAGGAGGCTGGAAATCTTGTTATTGACATTGAGATCTGAGATGGGGGGGTGAGGATTCACGTTTAAGGGTGGCAGAAATCCTGATCTGGCTTGAGTAATATTGTGATCTAAAGAGAAAGCTCCTGAACCACGCCTTTCTAAAAGTGCATGATTTCTCCTGCTCAAGGGACCTGGTGAGATATTCTCCAGCAATTCTTTGGGCCCTGACAACAGGGAAGGAGATGGTGAGAAGATTTTTTTCTTTCCTATAAGTGCTTTGCCATCTTCTAGAGTTGTAGGGGTAAGACCAGCCGAGAGCTGGGAATCAGAGCTGTAGTGATTTGCCCCTGAGTTTCTTTTTTGAACTATACTTCTTAAGGTGGAAGCAAAGATTGTCTGGTTAGAGTCTGGATCTGGGTCAGCAGGGATTTCAATGCATTGCTGGCTTCCTTCTGAAAAAAATGATTGATGATTTATTTCATCGTATGACATCTTTCTTGAGTTGGCCTGATCAAAGGCTCTTAGCAAATGTGCAGTGTCTTTTATATCAATACTTTGGTGCCTAGTAATGAATCGCTTGGAAAGTGCCAGCGCATTGGTTTTGTAGGATAATTCTTCCTCTGGAGTAATATCCTGGAGCTCCTCTTGCAAGGAGGCCACTCTGTTTTGGTGCATTAATAAGGGAGGACTCTTGATCCAAGTTGGAGCCTGGGGTAGCTTGGGCCCATTAGAGGCCATAGCAGGCTTCCTCATAGGGGAGCCTGGGTCCTGTGTATCATCACTACTTCCTGAGGGCTCCAGACCTTTAAAGCCAAAAAGTGTCATTTCAGTTTCAGAAGAATGTGAAAGTGGCAATGAGGCTGTTTTTATGTCTATTTCTGAAGGAGTGGCACAGGAGGCTGGGGAATGACACCCATCTATATCTACAGGAGGCATATTTAAGTACTGTTTGGTAGTGTGCCTACCAGAGGGTGATTTAGCTGTTGTTATGATAATGACCTCTTTCCCTTTTGCCTTGCAAGCGCTAAGTAGAACTTTCAGGGTTTCTCTATCCTCTGAATTTATAGCATAAACAAGGGCTGAATAACTAGAATGGTCTTGCAAGCTGAGATCAGCCCCACTGTTTAGGAGCAAGGAAACAACTTCAGGACCAGCTTTTTCTAAGCAAGCGTGCATCAAAGCAGTTTTCCCAGATTTGTCCTGTATGTTGGGATCAGCGTTGTTTTCTAACAGGTATTTAACCATTTTGGCTTTACTGACACTCTGGTGATCAACATGTTTGGTCTTACAAGCAATCATTAAAGGGGTTTCCCCACGGTCATTGCTCTCATTAATGTAGGCACCACCTTCTAGCAAGAGTCTTGTGAGGCGAAGCCGGCTCTGATGGACTGCTTTGATGAGGGAATTTCCATCACTTGAAATTTCTACACCTTCATCCATCTTAAAAAGTCAGAATCAATACCTGGTTATCAAAGAATATGAAGAACAAAAGATTAGACAGAATCCCAATTTGTATTCATAATTTCTGAAATATGTATGTATAGAGTAATAGGACATAAATGAGATTATGTTATTAATAAATATAGAACAAAATAGTGAATTGCAAAATTAAAGAAATTTTAGAATGGTAACAGTTTTTAGGGAATTTCATACTAAAATTTACTTTCAAAATCTTCATTGAATATTTATGATATAATACCAACCCATTACTTCCCTAAATTCTACATTAATTAAACAACAATCCATTTACTTTCTACTTGTGAAAAATATTTTTAAAATAACACTAAAAATGTAGATTTAAGCAAAAATTCCAAAATTCTGTGTAATTGCAACTGAATCAATTAAAATACAGATATTTATGGCAGATAATCTAAAAATTTCTTAGTGTCCAATTACTTATATGTGATCTTGAGTTAAATAATGCAACTATTATCTAGATTTTCAACTTGAGGAACATTTTTTTTTTAAGATTTTATTTATTCATTTGAGAGAAAGAGAGAGCACGAGTGGAGGGGAGAGGCAGAGAGAGAAGCAGACCCCACTGAGCAGGGAGCCTGATGTGGGGCTTGATCCCAGGATCCTGAAATCATGACCTGAGCCAAAGGCAGACACTCAACCATCTGAGCCACCCAGGTGCCCCTTGAAGAACATTTCTATGTTTCTTTTAAAGGATGAAAAATCATTTGAACTACAAGACATTAAAATACCTGACACATTGTCTGGAACTCACACTGAGATGGGAATGGTGAACAGGTGATTATGCAGTTTCCTTGATTTCATTATTTAAATCAGACACTAGATTATGGATGGGGTTGGCCACATACTGTTTGGTTAAATTTGGACAGCAGTACATTTGTTCTGAAAAAGGAGTTTTCTAGGCTGGAAATGTGAATGATGACATGTAGCCTTTATTTATTT